GCTCAGTCTTGGGGCAGACCCAGCTTCCCCACACGCACACACACCACACACTCACCTGGCACATGTGCACCCGGGGAGGGGGCGTCCCCAGATCCCAGCAGAGAATCTGTGCTCCCCACCCCACTCCCCAGGAGCCCGGCTGCTGCAGGGGCTGGAACGTACCAGAAGGGCAGCAAGTGAGTCCAGATGTTGAGGGTCTCATTGGTCATTTGGAAAAGGCTGAGGACACAGGCAGCGGCAGAACTCTGCGGGTGCCGGTAGCCAAAGAGGATGCCCTGCTCATGGAACACCTGTGGAGGGAGAGAGGGGCCGAGTGAGGCGTGGTGGCTTGGAGGCCCCAGGAGGAGTACCTCTGGCGGGCCTGGAGTTTTCCTCCAGCCTGGGCGCTGTGAGCCTGGACGCGTGGCCCAAGTCCTCGGCGTCAGGCTGCGGGCCCCTCCCTCCCTCCTACGGCCCCACATGGATCCCTCTCTCAAGCCTGCAGCCAGCTGGAGCAGAGAGCCCAAGGACCAGGCTCCCTTCAGGAACCCAGCCCGCCTCTGCATCCAGGCGCACTTACTATGGTCATGAATGGTGCCTGAGAATCTATCTAGTGCCCTTTGCTTGGGGCGTCCGGCCCGGTGTTTAGAGGCCTTTGCGGCTGGCTGGTAGAGGTGCTGCCTGTCTGAGCCAGTGGGCCCCAGATGTCAGGGGCCGGTGGGAAGCTCTGCCGAGGACCCCAGGGCCGGGAGAGCTTCACCTCGGCACTTCACAAAGGCCTTTTGATGATGAGGATGGTGATGCTGAAGCTGGGCTGTGGGAAGAGGAGGAGGCTGGCCATGCAGGTCCCACTGCCCCCACCCACAGAGGCCACCCAGCAAGTGCCCCCAGAAACGTCCCCAGTGAGAAGCCAGGCCTGGTCAGCTGAAATATGGGGTCTCAACCTGCTTGGAGCATTAAATCACACCCAGGAAAGACAGAAACTGAAAAGACGGTGTGGTCAGAGGGACAACGGCCCAGCACGCAGCATGAAGTGCATGAAGGTGGCGCATGCGTTGTGCCCGCCAGGACTGTAACAGCTGCAGAACTGAAGTGCACGTGGTGGGGCCGAGGCTGGGAAGGACACGGCAGAGTGAGAGATGAATTGGTGGAGGTAATGGGACTGAGGAGACGTCCCCCCATTCATGTTGAGTTAGACTAGACTCTCTCGATCTTAACAGCTCACATTTTAGGATAGCTAATTCTTTAACATGGCTGGCCCTGGCAGGACTCCAGTTTCTACCTTCTAGAAGCGGGTTGTTCGCACTGTGTCTACACCAGCGCTGTAAACTGTGATAACCATGTGACAGCCAAATGTGTCTCCAAGCATTGCCAAATGTTCCCTGGGGACAAAATTCCCTCCAGTTAGAACCCACTGATTTAGAAGAAAGTTATTATGACCTTTGAAAGGTAAATTACAAATGAACAGGGTAATTGAGGCAAATCGTAACAATAATATTAGTAACCACAACATAAATCACAATACTTTTTTTTTTTTTAGATTTTTACCATCATAGAGAAACAGAGAAACAGAAAGAAAGCAGAAAATCACCCCTCCAGGGGGGATGGCCATGCTGCAAACTCTTCTCCTCCATTCTCCTCTTGAGATTTTGGGTATGCATGCACACATGCCCAGTGTGAGTCTCAAGCTGCTGGGCTCTGGACGCAAACCACGCAGTCGGCCACGTAGGATCCAGCCACCTTAGTCACCGTGCCACCAGTTGGCCCTGGTCACAGCACATTTTAAAGCTTCCTCTTCAATGTTCAAGAGCTGTGGGAGGAGGGAAGGCTGGGAGAGTTCCGACCTAGCTACCCACCCCTCATTCGGAGGACCGATGTCTTTGAGAGAGGTTCTCCCCTCAAAAATACACAGTGTCGGGGTTCAGGTGGTGGTGTAGTGGTGGCACAGATGGACCCACGTGGGAGAGGTCCAGAGACAGAGAGAAGTGAGAAATCACACCCAAGGAGGCATGGCCACGCCACAGTCCCTTCTCTATGCTCCTCTCGGGATTTGGAGCGTGCGCACGTGCCAGTGCACATGTGGGGGTCTGTGAGGAACCTCGCAGTCGGCCCTGAGGGGTCCAGCACCTTAACCCTTACCACCTGCTGGCCTGCCTGTGCCGTCTCTCGAGGTTCTGAGTCAAGAGGTCACGTGGAGCGTGGAGATAGTGAAGGGCTAGCAAAGTAGTGAGTCGACCCTGGGCCCCCGGGGTGCCACATGACCTGGAGCTGGGCACAGCTCCTGGGGCCTTGGCGTCCTCCCGTCACATGCGAAGATGAGCTAGCTGGACGGCCAGGGTGTAGCTTCCCTTCCACACGGGCTCCCAGTTGGAGAGACCTCTTAGTTCAATCCGGATTAAGGCCGTCAGCCGAGAGCGGAGAATGAAGCTGGATCACGGTCTGATGAAGAAGCACTATTTGAATGAGGTTTGGCAACTACAGCCATTTGTTCCGGCTTCCAGTTCCGCGTTCCGTTCTGCGGATGCTGGGTTTACAGTGCAGATTCAGGTACCGGGCAGCAGGAGGCTCCACTGCAGATTCCCACCCACCGAGTGGACCACAAGGAGGCCAGGGGCCCATGCCCTCAGCCTCTGATCCACGAGGAGGGGGTGCGGCCTGAGGGCACTCAGATGGCCTCCAACAAAACATGCATCTTCCAGGAGCCTCGGCTGGCTCTGTCAGCCTACTGCCACATTGCCTTCTTCCTTCCTTTCACAAACTTTGGAAAGCAATAAAAGCACTGGCCACTTGTTCAAATGCAGGCCCCACAAAGGGATGATTGTTATGAATCAGGGCTCCCTTCTACAGATTGTCCTTCAGGGCCTGTGAAACTGCACACTTGTGACGGGGGGCCAGTGAGAGGAGACACCCCACAGCACTGGCCACATGGGGATGGGCAGGGCCCACGGAGGAGGCAGGCAGGGCTGCCGGGGCACAGGCACAGTGATGAACACGGCGGGCAGCACGGGCAGGAGCCCAGGAAGAGGACACCCTCACTTTGCCCAGGGCGGTCTCTTAGGATCCTGGCATTCTGGCGGGCAAAGGGCATGTGTGTGTGTGTGTGTGTGTGTGTGTGTGTGTTGTGGGGTAGGATGGTGTGTAACTGACATAGTTAAGAGCCAGAGGGGAACAGAGGGCTCTTAGGGATCTTGCCCTAGACCTGGGAGGATATTTATCATCAAAGCCAGGACTGTGCCGGATTAAAAGAAGCTGCTTCAGGGCCAGCCAGTGGCATGGTGGTTGGGGCACTGGACTCCCACATGGCCGACTGCAGTGCAAATCCTGGACCTCGAGGTCTGCTTTCTCACCTTACCTCTCTCTGTCTCTCTGGGGAGTACATGTACCCCATAGCAAATTTAAAAACAAATGAAATAAAATAAGTAATTATTAAAAAGAAGGAGAAGCAGCTGCCTCCATCCGACCTGCTGTCCTGGCCCCAGCCTTGGGTGGGAAGCCCAGCCCTGGCGATGCGGTAAAGGCTGGGTGTCTATCAGCCCCTGTAAGACAGTGACGGGGGGAGTGGGTGCTAAAGGGTGCTCTAAAGAAAGGGAGTCCCTCCGTCCCGGGACTCAGACGAGGACGGCTGGCCTCCCACGGCCCTCTGCCTCTGAGCCTCTGCCTTCTGGCCATCCGTCTGGTTCTGGGGTGTGCCCCTGCTGTGGGCTCCTCTGGGCACAGGAAAGGGGTGAGCCCCCTCTGTCTTCCCACTCCTGCCTGAGCAGAGGGCCCTGCATGGAACAGCTCTCCTCGGGACACAGGCCACACGTCTCAGCAGCGAGCCAACATTTGGAAACAATTCCGTATTCCAAGCCCAGTTTGGCCCCAAACGCAAATTACACTCATTGGCCCGCACTCTGTGGTTCGACCTCAATTCCAAGCACCCCCGTGTAAACAGCACCCGCTTATTTACACAGCAGAATTGATTTTCAGGACGCTGCCTTGCATCCCTGGCTGCAGGCTGGGTAATTTAGAATGAAAGGAAACCCAGTGGTGTGCAGCCTGTTACTGAGAAGGGAGAAGCCCTCGGCACTCAGGGTCCGCGCACCGCGGTGAGGTTTCCCTGCGAGCGCCTGCCGCAGACTTCGTGTTGGGAAGCCCCCGTGGCGTGGGTGGCCCAGACCCTGTGTGTGGCTGCCTGATGCTCGAAATGCCACCGTGACAGTTTCGTTTGTGTTTTTCAGATTTTTGCCGTAGGGCTTGCGCACTTGTCAGAGAAAGAGAGACAGAGAGGGGAAGTGAGAAATCACCCCCCCAGGGGGGATGGCCATGCCACAACCCCTCCTCCTCCATTCTCCTCTCAGGATTTTGGGCTCGCATGCACAACCACCCCGTGTGTTTCTTAAGCCACCAAGTCGGGGCTTGAACTGTGAAACAGATGGCCATGTGAGAGCCAGTGCCTTAGCCTCTGTGTCTCCTGTTGGCCCCTCCATTGGTTTTCTAGCCACTCACCCAGAGGAGATAATCAGGACTTTCTGGACGGCATAAGTAAGGACAGGTTTCTGTGTATTTTTAAATGATGGTGAGCCTGAGCACACGCCTGAGACAGAGACGCCCTCGCCAGGCCTGGCACCCGTCACTCTGAAACCTTCCTGCAGCCCTCGACCCATCGGGGTCTTGAGTGCCCCAGACGTTTTCGGGCCAGCTTTGGGATTTGAACCTGTGGTCAGCCATGTGAGTGCTGCACAGCGGCGGCCACACCTGAGAGCGGGTGCGGCTTGACCGGATGTTGCCAGCGTGTGCTCTGTGTCCCGCCTCTCACGGAGCCCCCCACCGCTCTGCCGAGGAGTCCTCTCTAGGCTCCATTTGCCATGAAAGGAGGCGAGGCCCTTCACCCAGGCTCCCGGATGTAGTGGAAGCAAAGCCCAGGCCTGAACACAAGCCTGCGTGGCGGCTCCCTGGGCCCTGGGCGCTGTGACCTGCGCTGCGCTGGGAGAAGGGCTGTTGAGGGATGGACCCTCACCCCTCGGCCTGCGGCGTGGTTTGGGGATGGTTTCTCCAAGCCTCATTTGCTTCCTCTTTAAAGTGCTACCGTCAATTCACCATGTCCCCAAAGCACACATTGCCATCAGAACCCCAGAGCCTCGTAGTGTAACTGTGTCTGGGACAAGGTCGCTTAGAGGAGACTGGGTTCCAATGAGGTGGTTCCCGATCTGATCTGGCTAGTGTCCCTCATTTGGACTCCGGGGAGACATCACAGAGGCCTGGCTAGTGAAGAGGCCAGGAGGCAGGATGCTGTAGAGGAGGCCCACCTGCCAACGCCCGTCAGACTCCT